ATAAGAGAATTTTCTAGTTCACGGTTTCCGTCTACACCCTCGACTGACTCGTCTAATCAACTTTGGTATCAAATCTAGCTATCTGCTTTCGATTTCTTCGTTGAAGGAGTTAAGTGCCCCATTATATGAAATTACTAGCCCTAGGCAATGACACGGTCTGTTACCCAAATTTTTCTTTATTTTTAATTTAACTGCGAGACGCTCTACGATTAAACCTGACTTCTTGTACAGTCCATAAAAACGTTTTCAAGATTTAATACAATTAGCCGCTTTACGAATTAGAAAAATAGGCTAGATTAAGTAGTGACGCGTTCGTTCACTTAAATAGGTCGTGTTATCCCCGGTAGTATCCGTCTTCCGGTAGCCTCTTATGAATTAAACAAGACAAAAATTACGGATTGAAGGTCTAATTCAACTGTAGATATGAAAAGCCTAATCTAGGTGATCAATCTAAATAAGACTCAACACATCATGGTTAATTATTAAAAATAACACGCACAATTCCAAAAAGATAATAAAATCATCAACCACAAAAGTCAATTAAACATTATCAAGTACGTAGGGTTCGACATTTCCGAAACTAGAAAGAAAATCTACTCTAACATGATAAATAAAAATAAAAAGAAAAGAAAGAGAATAGAATTATCCTCTCTCGTGTGCGGGTGCGGCCTCCCTCCACCATTGATCGGCTTCCTCGTCTGTTCTCGCGTCTCTGTTCGAGAATAATTTCTTCTCTTTTTTGTTCTCTGTTTCCAGCGGCTCCGTCCAAATTTTCCCCCAGGCTCCGTGAATCTTTTTCTTTTCAATCTTAATTAGTGGCTCTTTTAATTCCTCAAACAACTCTCAGGCCCATTATTGCTTTTTTTTTATTCCTCAAAGAAATTGATGGCCTAAAGTGGGCTCAATCACACCTTTTATAATATTAGGCCCAAAGTTATGGGTATTAAGCCATATAGGCTGGTATTGGGCCAGATACGGAGCACCCCCGTACTGCTCCGAGTGAAATTTTGTTTAGTGTCACGTCGCCAATAAAAATACTCCAATTATCCTGAAAATAAATAATAAAAATATCATAGCACTTGAATCCATCTAATAAATAAATAAGTCAAAAAACATATAAGTGCGATAAAACTAAGCATATAAAAATACGCTAATAAATATATAAAATACACACTTTTTCTGAACAATCAAACCTCCCTAAACTTAAACCATTGCTTGTCCTCAAGCAACTTAGAACTATATGCACATAGATGGACATGAAAAACATGTACGTGGAACTTTACTCAGAACCTCACAATTCTCACATAAGTGCATAGCTCAAACAACTCAAAATAATTTATCCTGACTCAAGATGAAATCATTCTAAGAACGCAAACATATCAAGTATCAATCTAAGTGACCACCATAGTTTGTCAATCTCTATAACGAATGCACCGATCAATGCAACTGATGACACCCCTCTCTTTGCTAACAAGTCTGGTTTCTTTCCATTTCTAGCCGAAGTCTAAACGTCTCATTCTCTCTCTCTCTCTCTCTCTCTCTCTCTCTCTCTCTCTCTCTCTCTCTCTCTCTCTCTCTTTTTCTCTCACTTTTTTTCTCGAAGTAGGGAACGACAACTCCATCACAACCCACGGGTTTTAGCCTTTTGTGATTGTCTCGATACAAGAATTATTAGATTTTATACACTAGAGCCCCCACGGATTGGCAGCTGTTGCAGCCCATGACTCCATCCTTTTTTTTTTGGCCAAACGACTTTTCAACTCCACCAATTATTACTCTATCCTTATTATTCTTTTTTTTTTTCGACTATGAGACATAGAAACCCCAACTTTTAACTTCAAGTCCCCAAACTTAATCAACATTGATTAAAGTAATCACAAGCACATTTCAACAATACAAATCGTCTCAAAACCAACTCACCACAAATGAATCACAAAAATATCAACCTTCATGCCTTTGTCCCCTAAATAAAAACACCTTAAGAATTTAACCAAATAAAATTGACTCATGTCATTTAAACTAGCACAATAAATTCAACCGACTCTCATGTCATCACCACAAAATTCCACATACATGCAATCTCATGCACACACAAGACATTATCATGCAAATAATCTAAGACTCAAACTCTAAGGGGCAAAAATATAATCACATAATAAAACATGAATGCTCACCAAGAAATACCTCCCCAAACTTAGAGTTTGCATATATCATTGACACTCAAATACACAAAAGAATAGAGGTAAAAGAAACGAGTTCACCTTAGTCAATGCGAAGAAGGTCACCGAACCATGCACACCATTGGGTTGCCTCCCAATAAGCTCCTCTTTTTATTGTCATTGGCCCGACTTATTGCTCTATTTCATCACAGGATCCATGGCGGCTTCCGAGGTGGCCTCAAGGGGACCACACAATGCACCACACCATGCTTTTCAAAACACTCACTCTCCGGTGTTGGGTGTTTCACTGGGTATTTTCTCCATGGAGGTGACTCCTCATGAATGTATAGCCCCACCCTCAATCACGGTCATTGTCTCATCATACTCCCATTTGCACATTTCCTTTTGCTCGATTGAAACAAGAGAAGGTACATCAAGGGCCAGTACATGATTCAGTGAATTCTTGCTCAGTACCCATTTCATGATGGAGAGCATACGACACGGTTCAGCTTCTATCGGCACAAGAGAGAGGAGAACAATATGCTTTTTGGCTCCAGCAGGTCGAGTATGGGGTACCGCATGCAGAGTATATGGCATCCCAGCACAGGGCTGTTTCGACTTTGTTTTTTCTATATTCGTGATTTTTTCGTTCTCCGAGTCGTATGTGCACTCTTCAGGTTCCTCGAGGTCCTCCCTGCACGAATGGGTGACGCTCGAACTCATTGGACTCGTATCGAGCCGACACACTAGTCGATCCATTTGTTCCGCCAATTGGCTCATTTGGCATTGTAAATTCCTTATGCGCAGTCCTTGGTTCTTGATGCTTGTCTCAACACCTTGCTGAAAGTTAACTCCTCCACCATATCCTCAAGTAACGGACCAGGATCTTTCTCAACAAATGGTCGCAGTACTTTTGTCGAAATTTCAACGTGTTTAATGTCAATGCCTCTATCATATCCTCGAGCGATGGGCTGGGATGTCTCTCAACTAATGGCTCGGAGTACCCATGGTAAGAGTTGGAGTTCTCTCTCAAACCGTACTCGTTCTCCTCATGGTATATGTAGTCTTGCCCGTACCCTTCGCCAACCACTAGGTCCTCTTATGCCTTGATCTTCAATCCATGGGTCTTGTACCTCCCTCTCATACTGGTAAGGTGCCTGGTGGGTATAAAAGTCGTGATAATAGACTGCCATCTCAAAAATTTTCGCCAAGCTCGATCAAATCGCCCAAAGATTAGTTAATGTCGCGAGTATGGGGGCGAAGTATTCTATCCAGCAGAGTATGTGGGCACCCAATATTCTGCAAGATAAAAAAACAAAAAAAAACAAAACTAGAGGGGTAAAAGATGATAAAAATAAAATCCGAAAAAAAAACTCAATTAGTACTCAAAAATCACAATTCAATAACGCCACTCCCCGGCAACGGCGCCAAAATTTGACCGCGCGTTGCAACACGGTAAAATTAAAATTTATATTTTTCCTTAACCAACCTCTACTAACTAGTAGTAGCGGCGAGTAAGGGTCGAACCACAGGGAGTGTGAATTAAATTGTGATTTTTTTTGTATTAATTGAAACTATAAAAACAATAAAATAGGGGGATTGGATATAATAACTAAACTAACTAGAATCCTAATAAAACAATTAAAATCTAAACAAGGAATAAAAATAAAAATAAAATAAATAAGAGAATTTTCTAGTTAACGGTTCCGTCTACACCCTCGATTGACTCGTCTAATCAACTTTGGTATAAAATATCACTATCTTATGAAATTACTAGCCCTAGGCAACAACACGGTCTGTTACCTGAATTTTTCTTTATTTTTAATTTAACCGCGAGACGCTCTACCATTAAACATGACTTCTTGTATAGTCCAGAAAAACATTTTCAAGATTTAATACAATTAGCCGCTTTACGAATTAGAAAAATAGGCTAGACTAAGTAGTGACGCGTTCGTTCACTTAAATAGGCCGTGTTATCTCCGGTAGTATCCGTCTTCTGGTAGCATCTTATGAATTAAACACGACAACAATTACGGATCGAAGGTCTAATTCAGCTGTAGATATGAAAAACCTAATTTAGGTGATCAATCTAAATAAGACCCAACACATCGTGGTTAAGTATTCAAAATAACACGCACATTTCCAAAAATATAATAAAATCATCAACCACAAAAATCAATTAAACATGATCAAGTACGTAGGGTTTGACATTCCCGAAACTAGAAAGAAAATCTACTCTAACGTAATAAATAAAAATAAAAAGAAAAGAACGAGAATAGAATATCCTTTTTCGTGTGCGGGTGCGGCCTCCCTCCGCAATTGATCGGGTTCCTCGTCTGTTCTCGCGTCTCTGTTTGAGAATAATTTCTTCTCTTTTCTGTTCTCTGTTTCCAGCGCTCCGTCCAAATTTTCCCCCAGGCTCCGTGAATCTTTTTCTTTTCAATCTTAATTAGTGGCCCTTTTAATTCCTCAAACAACTCTCAGGCCCACTATTGCTTTTTTTTTTTATTCCTCAAAGAAATTGATGGCCTAAAGTGGGCTCAATCACACCTTTTATAATATTAGGGCCAAAGTGATGGGTATTAAGCCATATAGGCCGGTATTGGGCCAGATACGGAGCACCCCAGTACTGCTCCGAGTGAAATTTCGTTTAGTGTCACGACGTCAATAAAAATACTCCAATTATCCTGAAAATAAATAATAAAAATATCATATCAGTTGAATCCATCTAATAAATAAATAAATAAGACGAAAAACATATAAGTGCGATAAAACGAAGCATATAAAGTACGCTAATAAATATATAAAATACACACTTTTTCCGAACAATTAGTCAACCACAAATTTCTTCAGCCGAGTGGAAGAAACCTTAGTCCGATGACAACGACCCAATAGCTCCACTGGAAGAGTGGGAGGTGTAGTGGTAACAGAATCTCCTATTGTCAGGCGTGTCCATATCAATAGCAGAAGACCCAGTATCAGGAGAAACATGAGGAAAAGAGACAACCAGAAGATCCTCATCATCACCCGGCGCAGAAAAAACTGGCACAACAAGAGGTATTGGCAAAGAAGTTGGCTCAGACGAGTCTGACTGATATGGGAATTCGGTCTCAAGAAACTCCACATCACGAGAGACAAAAAAAAAAAAATTGACGATTCAAATCATACAAACTGCACCCGTTTTTGCCAAAAGGGTGATCGACAAATAGACAACGATGGATTCGAGTAAAAAACTTGTCACCATTACGATCTTGGTTATGAGCATTACAAAGGCAACCACAGACCCGCAAATGAGACAATGAGCCGAACCATAACGAGTCTCATATGCAGTTTTACCATGTATAATCAAAGAAGGAGTTCGATTTATCATATAGAAAGCAGCCAAAACACAATGACCCCAAAAAGGAAGAGGCAGATGAGAATATGCTGATGTTTTCATTCCACACGACCATTCTACTGAGGAGTGCCTACGCAAGAAGTCTCATTCAAAATTCGTTGACGACGAAAATAAGAGGCCAAACTCATAAACCCACTTCCAGTATCACTACGAACAACACGCCCAATTTATCAAATTGTGGCTTAATCATTTAAAAATTAGTAATGTGGAAGCAACCTCCGTCTTTTCATTCAATAAATAAATTCATGTCCTACGAGAACAATTATCCACAATAGTAAAAAAATATCGTGCACCACATAAGGATGGAACACGCTATAGACCCCACAAATCACAATGAATCAAATGATGAGTCTAATTACTAATAGAATGACTAAGAGGAAAACTACGACGATGTTGTTTAGCACGAAAACAAGCATCACAATTATGTAAATCACGATAACTATAACAATAATAGGAATCTGGTACAATACTTTAGCATACGGATGACCCAAACTTTGATGCCACACATCGACAGAAACATTCCGAACACAATAAACTGCCGTAGAAACTACTCCTCGGAAGAAGTAGAGACCCCCTTCCCCTCCAACTGCTCACCCGCGTCAATCACTTTCTACGAGTGCGGTCAATAACACAAAATTTGTTAGTAAACCAAGTGGTACAGTCAGACTGATCCAACAATTCATATATTAAAATCAATTTTCACCGAAAATGGAGAACGTATAAAACATCATAAAGAGTGATATGAGATCACAAATGAACTGTCCCAGCCTTGCTAGCCATAGGCAATGAACCTTTAGGAAATTGAGCAGGACGGGTGGGAATATCCCGAACTTCATAAATAAACTCCAAAAACCGTGTCATATGATGAGTTGCCCCACAGTCGTACATCCAATCAAATAAACCATAGGTACCAGACAAGGGACTATTTTGTTTAGCGGAATTAACCAAAATTACAAAGTGAGTGCATTGTTCATTGGTTAAAACGCCAAGTGCAAAACAATCAGAATTACTCAAAACTCCACTAGCAGTTGAAGAATCAACAGAAACGACAACAAACGAATCGCCGATACCACTGGAGAACACTGCATTGGCACGAGCACCATTATTGCCGTGAGATCCACCACCAGAATTACAACAGCAGCCGCTACTGGTGCCGAAATAAAACACTGAAGACGTAGCCATGAAAGAGGTGCAGCAACTGTCGAGTTAATGAGGAAAACAACTGTGAATCTAGGTCGATGCTACGGGCTGTGAACGACAACCATCTGTTGATGGAAATCTCTCTCTCTCTCTCTCTCTCTCTCTCTCTCTTTTTGTTTTTGGCGCACTACTAAGATGCTTTAAGTCGTATCTCCAAAATCTCAAGAAGTTCCAAAAGACTTGTGTATCTTGGACGCGATTCTGGACTTTTTCATTTTTTTTTTCTATTTCCTAATAGGGGCACTAGTTTGGTACTTCAAGCGTATCCCCAAAATCTCAAGAAAAACAAAAACTTGTTTATCTTGTACACGATTTTGGACAATTTTCTCTTTAGCGACTGAAATTGTTTTCTTCGCAAAACAAGGTGCACCGACTGAAATCTGCGGACTGTGGACAACAACCTGCTTTCTACACAAAACAAGGTGTAGCGACAGTAGAAGATGAGAGATGCTGCGGACCACAACCGATGACGTGGACAAAGGTCGAGAAGCAATCGACCAGAAGAAAACTCGTGCACTAGTGGATACTTTTTCGAGCAACAATCAATCACGATGATGACGACGAACGAAATTTTTTGCGCTCCGAATGGATGGGAGTGATCAGATTTGACGGGAAAAAAAATGTGATCGAAAAAAAATTAGGTTGTGATTCTATGATACGAGAAATGAGAGACGAATATTGTAGCGAAGATCATCTCAATCAAATGATACAACTCTCTATTAATATATACACAATATTAGGGTTAAAGTTTCCTAAAGATAACCTAAGACTAATAGTAAATACACAAATATACACAATAATAGGTTCACTACCAGATATCGCACATCTTCCGCGAGGGGAACCAATCCGCTGCTTCCTCGCTTGTATCTGTGCCTCCACTCCCCACAGACACATTTTTCATCCAGACGACGGACCATATGGACTACCCATCGGTCAGATTTGGGTAGTCGTTTTGTATTTTTGTGCTTTACCCCACTCGTGGTGCAAACTAGTCGTCTGTACACCTGTCAGCCCAGACTCAGACTTTTCGCTTTGGTTATTGTTTTTTCTTTTTGTTTTTTTTTTTTGTTGTTTCTATTGTTGTTTTTGTTTGTTGTTTGAACGTCTAGACTTGTGATATTTGTGCCCAATTAGGATCTTGACTATATACAAGTCGAGAGTCCGGCCTTTTAATCTCTTACCCTTCCGTTTTTCCTTAAAAAAAATAACTAATAAAAAGTGCACAATGTGCAATTGCATGAAGAAAATACATATAATATTCGCGTTTAAAGTTTCAATGATGTTTTGTAACTGGGAAAAATATTTGTTTCTTTAGTAGTGCGAATTGTTATTCAAGAGGTTGTACAAATAGAAGCAGGTAGCAGTCGGACAAAATTTGGTGATCAAGTTTGTTTATTATATTTGGACTAACACCTAACAAAATCTCGTTCAGGTCCATATTCCATGAAAGGCAAATGACTCTAAAGGCCCATTTTCCTAGATCCGTCGATGTCAAACTCGAAAATATAATAAGTCAGAACAATGATAAACAAATGTAACCAACTTGGATGCTTACGCCTTAGACTGGTCGTATGGTATTACCCAAACGTAAATTTCATAAAAAAATTTAACACCTGTGCTTTGTCTATAGCATCTTATAATATATCACATTATAAAATTTGTATTTTTATGCATTTAGTCAACTTTGATGTTTAAATACTGAATGGTGAAATGAATTATATATATATTGAAATGAAATAATTAACGATCGTATGTAACAAAAAGAAACACCCACAACTTGAAGAGAGTAAACCAACAAAATAATCCTCCCTATATATAATTCCCGAACGCGCTGAACCTAAGTGACAGGCTCGCATGTTTCGGGATCCTAGGTGTCAAAATTTTTCATGCTTCATTGTTTGGCTTGGATAAACATTAATTTAATTTTAATCTCAAAATAATTAAGTTCGTATTAACATAAATATGTTGATTTATTTATGATCATTTTAAATGTATTAATTGTATTTTAATATTATTACTTATTATAACTATTGATTGTATAAGTATTTTAAAAATTGATAACTTTTGTATTTCTTATCGGTTTTACATATATAATATATCAAATTAATTGTCTTTTGATGAGCTTCGATTTGACATCCATGTTGTATATATAAAATAAATAAATTATATTATCTTTATATAATAATAAAATTATTTATTAAAATTAATTAAAAAATAAAACTATTTTTCAATTTATATATTTATGTTAATGCAGTTATATGTTATAAGTTAAAAAAATATTATAATATGACACATGTAAATCGCACAAGTAACAAGTGTCATAATAAAATATATAATATGTACATGTTTTAATAAAAACTATTTTAATTTTCAACCATTTTTTTCTCAATAATTTTAAATTTTAAGAAAAAAATTTAGTAAGCACCCGTGTAATACACGAATGTTGTACTAGTAATAATAATAATACTATGAATATGCCCCTTCCAATGCTATTTCTCGTTTTATCAACCAGGAAAAAATATTTCATATGTCTTTAATTATTCATATTGCAAGGATAATTTGTGATTTATATTCTTTTGTATTAAAAAAATATTTTCCCTCTTTTTATTTTCTATTCTCTGTATCAATTTCCCGTACTTCTTTTCTTTTATGTAGTTCACTACACCCACAAATTTTTTCTCACCATCATCTTGATCAAACCTTCAAATATTTTTCTTTTTTATCAGAACGATAAGAGAACTCTCGATAAAAATCAGAGAAACTAGTGAACAATGTCCAAATACAAACAAGTACAAACCCAAATAAGTCGAGGGCTCAACACAAGAGATAACTACATAGCAACCTATGTAGCCTAGAAACGAAACAAACAAACCCAAAAATAACTAGAGGCAATGAAAATCATTGATCCCTTCGGATATGCAAACCACTACACATCATCCAAAAAAAAAAAAAGTACCCACAAACACCAGTCCACTGTACTACTTCCAGTGTACTACTCAATGAGTAGACCTAGCTTGGTCTTCATGTCTTCTTCTAACAATATATTTTCCCAGCTTTTCTGCTTGTTGTCATTCTCCCATTGCACCTTTAACTATACCAAAACATGATCTCCACACATTTTCAAACATCTATAAATTCATGAATTTCCAAAGTCACCATAGAATGCAAGTTGTTAATTCTATTCGGGCTTCAGAGACCTCACTTCCATCCACACTACAAATCTTTCCCCACCAATCTGCAAGCATGCCTGTGTTATATTGTACACCATCCCAACAAATGGGTGCATGTTTCCGCACCCTCTTTCCTCTTTCACATTTGAAAAACACATGTTCTATTGACTCCTCTTGCATCCCACAACCTTTACACATTACATCAATGACTATACCCTTCTTCCACACATTCACATTTACAGGTAAAATTCCAGAAAAATATTTCCAAATAAAGTGCTTGATTTTACCTTTAACTCAAAGCCTCCAGCTCATTCTCACCATCTT